GGGCCTCAACGATGGGTAGGTCAGCCAGTTGCGCACACCGAGGAGACGAAAGGCACTCACCAGGAACCTCGCCAGAACGTGACCCCTCTAAGAAGGAGAATGAGCAGAAGAACAAGTCGATTATGTCCTCTCTTTGCCAGAAAAGATTTTCTACTGGGTCAACAAGAGGACATACGGTACGGCGTCCCAGTCCGCTTGTGCGGTCGGCTGTTCTTCGATGCTCGGCTCAGAGCCAGGGGACTTAGTCCCGGACGCTGGAAAATAGCGCATTAGTGGCGAGAGAGTTCGGCGTGAGCGACCTAACCTCCTGAGGTGGGATCGTCGATGGGAGGTTATGATCACCGACTTGGTGAGACAGGAGCCGGCGGACCTCCACTAACACGTCGCGAAGACGTTCCCGAGAGCCTGACCGCCGAAGAGAGCGATCACTCGACGAACATCGCCGAGCGGAGATTCAAGAACGGCGCGATTCTCCTCGCGATCGTGACTGGGTACGCGAACGCTTGTCTCGACTTCAATGCGATCGTGACCGGGTACGCGAACACTCGTCTTGACTGCGATGCGAGCGTGACACGCGTTCGCCTCGCGATCGCCGCGAGAACGACTTTTTCGTGTATTTTGGCATAACCTAGAACACTGAGAAAACAAAACAAAACAAACCTATTGATCGAACCTATTGATCGAACGAACAAACAGAACACAATGAGGACGCAGCGTGCGCAGGAGGCGCGTGAGGGCGCGCGAGGGCGCAGGCTGGGCGCCGTCGGTTTGTTTTTGGCGGCGATTTGAAATCTATTGTCGGGACGCGTGCAGGAGCACGACTACATAGTTTTCCATCCGGACGAGACATACTTGGGCATAATCCCAAATAGCCAAAATAGTGCGAATATATTTTGAGTAAAGCCTACTACCAACTTTTGATTTGGGCAAATAGACAACAAATTTAATGCAGAATCCTGTGTGACGTGACGATTAGTAAATATCGTCCGTCGTAGACTATAGTAAGGAAGCATTATGAGCTTCCCGGCTGTAGGCGGATGTCGCGGCCTAGCCGTGAGGCGTTTAGGACGCGAGCCTACGCAGCCCTCGAATCATTTTTTTGTGTATAAATACGGTCATCGAGGTTGAGTCCGGAAGAAGAAAGCCACCAGCAAGGAGGACTGCTGCCGCCGTGGGAGAGAAAGAGCCTGCGAGAGGAACGGCCGTAGGACCTGCTACTCCAGGTGAACCGCTTCCGTCAATAATACGACTCAGTAGGGACCCACAGGGTGGAAACTTAACACAGACCTGTTTCAGCAACATCCGGAACGTCGAGGCGAAGCTGCCGAAGGGGAGCGATCACAGGCTGTCGCTAGGAAGCCGCGAAGACGGAGTGGATCGACACCGCTGACGAGCGGAGGATAGCTGCCGCCGGAGGAAACCGGCGAGCACATCCTCCGCGACCCGGAGCGTCCTCCGATCCGAGCGAGGACGCCGCGAGGCTCGTGGATCGACGCAAAACAACGGCTGCCGCAAAGGAGCTTAAGCCAAGGTCAGACGGACGAGGAAGCTCCAAAGCCTGGCGTACCGAAAACAGCTGTGCAGAGTCAGAGATCGAGAAACGGGGGAAAGATCCCGCCAATGAGCGCCCAAGAGCTGTCGGAAGCGGGTTTAAACACCTAAAATAAAACGGGACGACAACGACCGTGTGAAAGCTTTTGTCGCCAATCTCGCCGATAATACGGAATCTAGTGTGTGAAGGACGCGCCATCCGTAGAACCGAGAACCGGAAGACGAGGCACCGACGACTCGACCTTCGACCCGTAAGACCGCTGCGAGATCCAGGGTCATATTTGTGTGAGTTCAGAGGGACTGCCGAGGCCAGCTACCGGCTGCCCCCGCTCCGCTCAAGCTTTGGTGAGTCCGTTCCAAAAGGAACGAAGACATTATTTTGGTGATTTTCGCGGCGCGGAGCGGGCGAGGCGTCGACGAGCGGGGACCCGGCCGTCCTCCTGGACGAGGGCAAGGGCTCGCGTCCCTCCCGCGCGTTAGGGGAACAAGCTCACGGGATCATTTCAACGTACATCAAATCGCCGAACATCCGCCGGTTGTACCGTCGACGCGGACACACCGCCGAACGCTTACGCGGCCGTCGTGACCTCCGCCGGTCACGACGCTAGCGCGTGCTGCCGAATATCTCTGTCGCAATTGCGGAAAAGACTCAGTTTGTTATCACATCAACTTTGCTGCCGGCTAATACCAGTGTAACGGTAATGAGCAATAAACGTTGTCTCAAGGTATTGCGGATCATTTAATTATCTTAGTCGCCGCTCTATCCTTTCACCTCCGACCTCGCGCGAACCAGCCCCTCTACCGCCAAGAGGGCTGAGCTGCCGGACGTGCGGGTCAGCCGTTCGGCGGACGACGAGTGCCACTCTTCGGCGAGACCAACCTTTTTGGTGGTTAGGGAACGAGTCTTTTAGTGGGTACGGACCGCCGTACCTGGCGCCCATTTAGAGTTTTCTTTTCGTGTTGAGCTGTCGGGTCTCGCGAAGTCAGCCGAGCTGGGAGAGCTGACCAAAAGAGTAATAATTTTGTCGCTGCACCCGATTCGTGTGCCGACTGCGCGAGTCGCGAGTGTAGCGTTACACCTGTTATATCAAATCCTGCTGCCAAACTGTTGCTAGATATGCGACAGAACCTACTGTCAAATAATTACTGCAGATTTGCAACAAAAATCGCACAGAGCCTATAGCGATCTGATAATAGATTGGCAACAGAAACTAAATTGATCCTACTGTGCTGTAGGTTTTGTATGGTTTTTTTTACAAGTTTTCTTGTAATTAGCCAATAGCAAGCTCTGTCGCCAAAATTGTAGCTGAATTCGATCACAGATAGCTACGGTTTTGATATGAGCTTTTTATCCAATTTGCACGCAGCCTGCAGTCAATTTGTTTACTGGAATCATGCACCAACTTTTTTATACTTTTTAATAACTAAAAATCTATATGGTTATTTGTAAAGTAGTAAAGGATTTTTTAATATCTCGATAATAATTACGAATATTGCAAGACAATATGAGACTTTTACGTTTGCCTCTATCTCTCTATGAGCACCGTTTTGATTGTTTTAATAGCTAATAAACCTGCTGTTTTTTCGTAAAAGTTAGACGTTTATTACGGAATAGCAGTACGTTTACTAACAATATCAAGGTATTTCTTAGCCAATTTCCGCCGTGCGACAAACTTGCCGTGTTATTTTCTAAATATACTTTTAATGAATTCCAAGTACGAACACGTGAAAAAGCAACCTACAATTGTCCATGATTAAATACATCTTTCCGAAGATCTATTGCAATTTTGTCAAAAGTGTGTCCTTGTGATTTATTTATAGTCATAGCAAATGCTAATTTTACAGGAAATTGCCTTCTTTTAAAAGTAAATGGATAAACATTTTCACAATATAAAGTAATACGATTTAGAAATACAATTTCTCCAATTTTATTACCTGTCAAAATTTCGCATTTTAATATATTATTACCTAATTCTAAAATCAATAATCTAGTACCATTGCATAAACCTTCATTAATGTTAAGATTTCTGATAAGCATGACAACAGTATATTTCCTCAAACGTAATTTATGCGATGTAGAAAACTTGGATTTAAAGTATTAAAATATTCTGTAGTAACTACTTCATGTATACCTTCATTATTATCAGTAGTTTCAACAGTATCTACACTTGTATAAAGTCTTTCTATTGATTTATCTAATAAATTTACTACTCTTTCATTAATTTCATCAACATCAATATTTCTTGCAGATAATATAGCATAATTAGCGAGGGCTTTATATTTTTTCTGTTTTATAACATCTTCAGAGATATTTTTTATCATGTTAGAATTAATGTCCGCTACATATTTTTCCGGAATTCGTACATAATCTGATTGATTATTTAAAGAACCATTACCTAGATCTAGTAAAAATTGTGCAAATTCTTTTTCTTGTGGTAAAACTCTTATATTTTCAGTTAACGAAAATACTTTAAATTGTTCCCATAAAAAACTAAATTTTATGGATAAATTTATAACTTCAGTACGCGTACTTCTCTCTTTTACAGGCAATAATTGTCTAAAATCACCATCAAGAAGAACTATTTTACCACCGAAATATAAATCGTTTTGCATTATATCACGTAACGTCCGATCTATTATTTCCAATACATAACATGAAGCCAAAGAAGCTTCGTCTAAAATAAACACATCTATAGTTTTTAAATTTTCGGCCTCTTTAGATTGTACTTTAATGTTTGATGTGGAGTCAGCATAAAGTGGTACAGGTAATTCAAACACTTTATGTACCGTTTTTCCATTTGGCAGTAGTGTTACAGCAATACCAGTAAATGCCATATTACTTACTACTTTATGTTTGCTTTTGAGTAGATAATACAAAGTTGTATAAATAAAAGTTTTTCCAGAACCATCTGGGCCATCAATATAGAAACAATTACCACAATTATTTTTACTTTCTATTACTTCTAAAATAATATCAATAATTTCTTTTTGTTTTATGTTCAATTGTTCGTATTGTCGTGTACCTATTAATATATTTTTTCCATACGTTCTTTATGATTTATTTCATATTCTTCTACTACTTGATCCATCTCAGGAAACTTAGAAATACTCCAACCTTCAATGTGCAACATGTAAGCTATATAACCATAAGCTTTCTTTATACCCGTTGCAACTCCATATCGTTTTATGTAATCTTCCGATATATCTGTTTTAAATTCATCCCAAAGCTTCTTAGGATGCACTGGTTGGCAATGAATTAAAATTCGAGCAAATAATCTACGAAGTCGTTTTGACATCATCCAAAGTTTTACTTCATTCATTGCACGATTCCATTTTTCATCATCTTCTATAAGTCTTAATGTTAAACATGTAGCGGTAAAACTCGGATATATTTCATTATTAATTGTCTTTAATTCTTGAAAACTTGTGGCTCCTTTAACATTTAATAAAAGTACACGAAGATGATATAATTCAGGTTGTAATGGACTAACAGAATACATACGTCCGATACAATTGAAGTACTTTTTACGTTTTTCCCAACGATAAACAGTTTTACCATTAATTGTAATCTTTTTAAATAATGACATGGAATATCAGTATATAAATAATGCTTGGCCTCATCATCTCGAGTATTTAACTCATAATAATCTATTAACATAGTTACTCGTACTAAGGTAGACTCTATTGAATTGTTATTATAATTATCATCAATAATTATACTATGCTCATTTGGTAAATAAATTGGTAAACGTATAATGGCATGACTTTTACTTATAAAGCTTTACCCAAAATACGCTAACATGCTTCTACAGATCCAACATAACGAGCTTCTATAAAATCTTGAATTTCATCATGCACTATTTCTTTATTATTTATATCATTTCCTATAATTACGGATGCAGCATCATAACTCTTATAAATATATTTATATAAATACTTTACAAATCGTATACTTGACACTATCTCAACATTAATATGACTATTAAATAAAAGTAACAACATTAGACTAAATGGAACAACATATCTATTGTCAACAACATATCTTCCACATCTCTCATACAATGTACTATCATTCTTACGACGATATTATGGATAACCATCTTCATCTATAGATGTTTCTGAATTAAATGTGTAACGATGCATGTCGTTACGCTACGAAAACGAATAAACGCATGTAACCGCGATTCGTTGCGAGTTTGAATCGCTTGTCGGATTGGGTTCGTGATAGGCGGAATAATTGAGAAAACAGTGTTTTAAGAAAATAATAATGAATAATATATTTAAAATATTAAGCTGATGATAATGATAATATATATATCGAACAATACGTGTCGACGCCTTTGGTTTTGGTTGTTTGTATCGCCTGACAGAGGTTTGTTTAGACGCCGGTTTGTGTGAGGTGACGCGCGGTGCGCGGGACGCGGACGACGTCAGTGTCGCGTCTTCGCGAGTCTATTCTGTTGACGTTTCTTTCGGCGTCGTGTCTCTTAAGTGCGGTGGACACTTTTCCCAGCGATGTTAGCGGCGTTTCGGAATCATATAATGTTCGCGGTCGTTGAAATTGCAGCGTAGCTGCACGCGGGATATGGCCTTAGTGGCGCTCCCCTTCGTTCTCCTATCGCGGAGATTGGAATCGGCTCGGTGTACGCGGTGCGGCCTTCGGTCCTCGTACACGGGACCTTAGCTCTCGGAGTTTCCTTTATGATTCAACGAGCTCGGCTCGTTCGGACGCAATTTCGGATGCGGCCAGCGGTACTGTGAAACTTATCTGTGTCGGCCTCACGAATCCGTGAGCCGACGGCGGAATGATTACAGTCGCCACGCGACGAACAGTAATCTGCCCTGAGCGGAGTAGAGTCGAATGTCGATGACACGTATCCGTGCAACGACGGCGGAGTGATTACAGTCGCCAATCGACGAACAATAATCTGCGGTAAATATTGATAAAAACGGACCACCTTCCGAGGACAATGATTTTCACATATGTTGTCAAGGTCATCATTTTGAGTAACATCCAAAAGGTTTTAGGCGTCGCTCGTTGTTTATTAAAAAGTTATTAAGAAAAAAAGTTGCATAAAATTAATATAATTTTTGGACACCGTGTATACAAAAACATCGAATTTCTAAACTAAGAAGATGCTTGCTACACACACACGCACACGTGTGTGTGTGTTTGTGTGTATTCAATTTTGTATATTGCGTAGTGTGTACACACGTTGATGCCGTTGATATGTATCAAACTAAAGTGTTTATAAACAGAAATATCACGCATCGGACATATGAATACATTACATAGATATTTGTGGAATATATAAAGCAATGCTAAACGTTAAATTCGGTATCCTCTATTAGTCGGTTCGCAGTCACGAATAATATCAGTTGTAGAACGTGCTAGAATATTCGCGAAATGTTACTGCATGAATTTCTATATCTTACGCACAACGAACAGGAGCTCTTAGAATACTTGCGTAATAAAGCGGTTATTCAACGAGACACAACATGTCCGCGGTGCAACAACATCATAAATACCACGAGTGATTCAGATTCCTTAATACTCCACTGTACCAATAAATATTACAAGCAAGTACGCGGACGGAAAAGGCAGCGAAAAGTGTGTAATTTTAAAATAAGTATTTTACATAATACTTGGTTCGCTAAGGGACATCTCGGTTTGGCAAAAACGTGCCGATTTATTGCTTATTTTTTACACATACGTCTTCCAAGACAATTCTTCCTTATGGAAGAATTGCAGATTTGCGACAGGACTGTAGTTGATTGGACAAACTTTTGTCGCGAGGTAAATATTGACGTCACATTGAATAATATGCGCTGGTAATTGTTTATATTAAAGGAGCTTTCGGTTTTTTTTGTACTGACAGCTGTTACAACAATGGATTACGAATGGACAAAAACAGATAGGTGGTCCTGGAGTTACTGTAGAAATTGACGAAGCAAAAATCGGGAAAAGGAAATACAACAAAGGTCGTATAGTTAAAGGCCAGTGGGTTTTCGGTGGGATAGATCGAGAGAGCGGTAAAATGTTTATCATTCCTGTGCCCGATCGATCAGCAACAACTCTTATACCTATAATAAATCAATATATAGCGCCGGGTTCTACAATTTATTCAGACAGTTGGAAGGCATACAGTGGACTACAAAATGCAAACTACTCTCATTATACAGTAAACCACAAACAGAACTTCATTGATCCTGCTACAGGCGCTCATACGCAAAATATAGAGAGGTTATGGCGTGATATGCGAGCAGCAATACCACGATATGGAACACGCACTTATCATTACAACGGATACCTCGCGGAATTTATTTTCAAAAAGCAATCAAATTTTGGTGACCGCATTGACTCTTTTTTGAAATAATGAGTAAAATATATCCAATAAAATAATATATATCGACGTATATACAGTATGTTTGATAAGAGCGTGTACGGCAAAACTTTTTCCTCGAAACCGTTAGAGGGGGGATATGAACGCGAGCCAATAGCGGAGCTCTTCTCCCAAGATGCTTTGTCTATAAAGCCTTAGTTATCGTTTGACTTTCGTCACAAAAGGGCGTATTTCAACATGAGTGCCGCGTACGCATCACGTTACGAAGCTGTGTTTCTATGTTCGCATCCGAAAGAACCAAAAATGTTGCGCGGAGCGGCTGCTAAGTATATGAAGAAGTCTAAGGCGTTTGTGAGTAAGTGGGTGAAACGTTATTCCGAGGTCAAAAACGTTGATGACTTGCCGGATCGTGGCTCTGTGCAGAAAACGACGAAAAAGGAGGACAAAATGATTTTACGGG